CATAATAATATTTATTCAAACTTTTGGGTTATACCTTTGTCGTTGAATGTAGACAGTTACTTTGAAAAAGTTTCTTTGAGAAGTCCCTCGTAAATATCGAACGATAACTCAAGCTCCAACAAAATACATTCGGCCGTGGTATAAAATCGTTTGAGATAGCTGAACACTGTTTATTTAAGTCTAATTCCCAACGAAAATCGTTTTGATAATTTCTAAAGTCAAGGTGTTTTCATTTGTGTAAGATGAAGATAGAACTCCGCTCAAAGATGCCAATGCGAACTACGCCTATTTAAATGAAAACCGTTTAACAGAAGTTTGGTCTGAAAAAAAAAGTAGTTGCTGGCGATATTCATTATCTTGCAAAGCACTCGATTTTGCTGCGTAAAAAAAATGATAAAATCAAAATGAAGAAAGGGAAGAAAGAATAACAAGATATTTAATGCTAATAAGTAAATTATTCATGTGATAGGCAAAATTTATGACATATACGATCTATCCATACCATATTATTTTTGTTAGCATTTCAGAGATAAAATGTAAATGAGCTTACAAGGGGAAAAGTGAGGGAACAATAAGGGTGGATTGACTCCATCGAGAACTCGTACTTTCACACTGCAAGGAAAGATAAATTTTATCTATCTGTGGATCTAGATGTTTAAGGAAACTTAACTGTTATAGAAAACAACCACTTCTTTGAAGTGGTATTAAAAGTTAATGTCCTTGTGATATAACAAGAAAAGCCAGAATTAAACTGCATGGTTCGCCTCCGCACTTGACTTTAAAACCGCGGCGGTATTTTTTTTCTAAACAACATTTTACAGTTTGATTATTTTGGACGTTCCCTTCTACAGCAGGAGCCTTAACTTAGAAAATAAAACAAAATGAAAAAAAACAAAAAAAAAACCGACAACTGTGTTTCGAAGGAGGCATCCTACGGCATTCCTACTGATCCTCAGCTAATTGCGTCACAAGAAGCGCGTAAACGAACCCAAAATTGTTCCGTAACCCTCTCATGAAATTAGTTTGATCGAGAGAGAAAGAGACGAAAAATCTTTTCTGAGCGCGAAGCCTATGAATTACCCCCATATAATGTCCGCAACAATATTCTTTTACAAAAGCCTAAGATAACTTGAGATATCCGGAAGTGTCAAGAGCTAAAACCCCTTACGGTTTTGTCTTTCAGGCAATCAAGTTTGTGAGTTTTTATTTGTCAGCGGTGTTGTTAATGTAAAAGGCATTGGCGGCGGAGCAGGGTCGCTTCCTCATTTTTGCCTTTGCAAAATATTTATTTCAGTCTATTCAGTTCAAGCAGCGATGAAAATATTTTGCAAATTTCTGGATAATTTAAACTGACGTCCAGTAAAAAGACAAACTGGGTAAATTGATTAAAATCCTGTTATCAAAAAAACTGTCAGTGGCACATTTTGACTGATTCGCTTTCGTGATGACTGAGGAAGTAATTAATTTTTTCCGGGCTACGTAGACAAAGCGCTTCACTACAGCTGCACACATCTTGGGTTGTCTCCTGCACCCTTATATACCAGAATTTTTCATGCACTGAAGCTTGCGTTGGCAAGATGAAGACTATAGCGCTTTGTATTTTTGCACTGTTCCTTTCTTCCTTGTTGGTAGAGGGCCTCATACCAATTAGTCGCTGCTCGAAGAAAGGCTGCGAGGTAACAAAAGGACACGAATAAGCTTAGACATTTTTTACCCTTTTAATCCACTCAAAATGCTTCATAGTATTTTTTTATATGCGGTTTTCAATTTTTCAGTTTGGTTTATTGATTTCAGTAAATTATTTAAGTGGCTAGATTAGAAATGACAATTTTTTCCTTTCAAACGGAGAATGTCCAGTAAGGATCACATACCAATGAGCGTAGAAATACCTCTACCATTTAGTCATGTCAAAATGAGCTGAAATCTTGAATAATCCAAGTGGTTCAGTTTTTACATTTAAATGTGTCGTTAATCGGTGTATTCACTCGGTGTATTCACTTACTTCTCGAACTGAGTTTTTCTTTACTGAAAGCCGTTTTAAACTCTTTAAGAAACATACTCAGAAAACTGAAGAAGGAAAAAAAGAAGGTGAAGGAAATTTAAAAATGTTGAGGACGAACATCCGCAGACGCTTGGAGGAGGTTAGTAGAAGTTTTTAATTTGTCTGTTCGGTTTGCCCTGTTGATGTCAGTTTAGTTATTCAATATCTGGATTGAAGGAGAAAGTTAAGGTACTTTTCGCTCATTCAACTATCTGTCAGAGCTTATCGGTCTTGTTTTTATGTTTATTTTTCGAATAAAGTTAATGGTAAATTTTCAAATGATGTTTATGAAATCTTTAGGCACAACGTGAGCGACAGTACCGGAGAGGCATCTGCTTACAGGCCCGCGAGCTGGGATGTAAAATGGACCAGATGAAATAAGTTTCTCCGAATTGAAGACTTACTAAGCTAACTCAAAGTTACAGCAAAATGTTATTCTTAAATGATGAAATTGAGATGTAGATGTCTATAACGCTATCATCACTATTGCCTTTTTTAGTGAAATTAAACTGTTTGACATGAATTGAATAAAGGCTGTGGTCCATATGATAAACATCTGCTATTCGCTACTTCTGCAGTTGAGCCCTAACATTTTAGTGGACATGTTGGTCAGAAGACTCCTTTATTTGCCAGACTCCCATGAGACACCACGGTACGCGAAATCAATATAATTAATATCAAGCGAACAACGGATGAGAATAAAGGAAAATATCAATCAGTAGATTATCAGTTGACCCAATACCAATTTCTCCAAACTAACATCCTAAGAATTGCACAGCAAACAGCAAGGAGAATTACTAATGAGATCTTTAGAGTGAAAGGGTTCATCTCGAGGCCTTTATATCAATGTTTAGTTGAAAATTGAGTTATTGCCCCTGTAATGCGCAGTACATTTTTATTCACAATTTACAATTAGTCCTTATTTTTAAGAATCCTAGAAGAGCAACACATCCCTATCAGTTTCAGCTATATAGCTAGAGTTCTGCAGAATGTTGGGGTTAACTCAAACCTTTTTATATAATTTCTTTCCCTGGTGCAGGTAGTTTTTTTTTTGCATGCTCAAATGTGACAGTTCCGATAGCTGTCGGCCGCTCTTTGTCAAAGCTTACGAGGAATGATGGCTGGCATGTATCAGAACTGTCAACATCTAACCAAGGAGAAGTCATCACCCGTTGCGGGGAGTTTTACACGAATTTCACACGAATCGAAACCATCGAGCGAACGATATCGCACGTGTTTGTGTATCGTTTCATAGAGCTCTGGCCTTGATGATAAATAGAATTTCAATTATTTGTATTGTTAGTACAGTTTCGTTTGGTTTATACACTAGAAGAGAGTGAGAAAAAAAATCCGTCGATCGTCGATTTATGATTGACAGCTTTTTGTCAGCGGGTCATTTTCGATATGCATAAAGACTTTGTTTTAAAACGAGGGTGGGTGCTTAGCTTTTAACATTGAAATGAAATAGAAACTTATTGAATAAGTGCATGAAATGCTAAAGGAGTATTTCTGTTTAATTGGTGAATTTATTCCTAAAATGAACTCGACTTTATATGAAATCTTCCAGTTAGTTCTACAGTCTTGCTTATTGTCAGAGGCATCAAGCTGTTGTGGTCTGGCAACTTAGAAACGCAAAGAATAGCAACAATAAATGCTGCTGAGTTTGTTTTACCGAAGCAACTAATAATCCAACCATCGTACAGAGAGATACACTTTGAATTACAAATGAAAGATAACTCGGTCAATACACGAGAGAGTTTTTCTTGAAATAAGGTTAAAGAGGGTAGTTGCGAGTAATGCATGAAGAACTAGACACGAAGACGTGACATGGACTGGGTCCGAGCGCGCGCGAAGGAACTGAATAGGAAACTGTTACCTTGAAGCTATGCTTCGTATTTAAAAGGTCTTGAAATTTTCTGTGCTTCAGTACCGGTAACAGTGAGAAACAAAGTCAATTAAAAGAACTTATTTGCAAATTTATTTTGACGGCGGAAAAAGCTATGCGACTGGGAACAAGTTCTTCCAGCTTCAGTCAAGCGCCTCATATTGGTTTTGACGGTTTTGCACGCGGTTTTCGATTTTGGTCGAATATTTTTTGCGGTTTTGCGGCTTTGCGCAGTATTTTCTGCGGTTTTGCAATTTCTAGCAGACACCAATGCCCCACTCCCCTCTTGCAAAAAGTGTCCTCTAGACTAGTTACTTTGAGAAGTCCCAAGCGAACACTGAGCAGTAATCCAGAATCCACCAAAGCAAAAGGCAAAGCTGAACACTGCTGTCATGTGTCATTTCCATAGATAAGCTTTTTTTGAATATGAACTGTCAATTTGCAAGAAGCTCAGTCTAATTGCACACACGAGAGAGGAAGAATTAACTTCATGAAAATATGCAAATGCAAACTGCACAAAGGTTATGGGTGTCGTAGAACAGGGACTAATGATAAAAAAAAGCAACAACAAGAAGAAAACTATCAGACAAAGCTGATCTAAGAGTATTTGATATGTGAAAATATCACACGAGATTTTTAAACCGGAAGAAGAAGAGTAAAAATAAAGCTCGAAACAAAGGTAAAAAGACAGAACAGAGGTTGTTGCAGTTGTTTTAATACAAGCTACCTACTTGATGAGTGCCAATAATAACATACTAACGATCTGTAAAATACATATTTTTTGACAACAAGACGACCACACAACTGTTGATAACCTTTGAGAGCTTGTATGGACATATTGGTGAGGGGAGGAAGTTTCACTGGTGACTCAGAAATTGATTAACTTCCTCAAAGCTGAGCAGGAAGAGTTCCATTCGACAGCTGTTTAATACATTTCCAAATTCATAGCTACATTCATTTTGGCTTGTCGACTGTATCGGTATAAATAAGAATTTTCCAGGCACTGACGCTTAGCTTGTGTTAGCAAGATGAAAACTGTATCGCACTGGATTATTGTACTGCTCCTTTTTTTGGGTGTTGGTAGATGGCTCCATGCGTGTTAAAATCTGCAAGGAAGGAGGCCTTAAAAATCTGCAAGGAAGGAGCCTTAAAAATCAGTAAAAAGTATATAAATTAGCCTAGAAACAATCAAAGTGTTGTGTTGTTTTTTTTTACGGACTTTCTATCCATTTATTCAGTTTTATTACATTCATGTTTCAACTGGATATTATTCTTCTTATCGGTGAAGTATATAATCGAGGTATTACTCACTTACGTCTCTAACATCCATGTTTGTCTTAAGGGATTTTCCTTTTTTGTAAGAAATGATCGGACGATATATAAAATTGTTTTCGGCAATGGCTGATTGTGTATCAAGGCGGATATTGGGAGTTGGTGAAAGCCATTTCCAAGCCATCAATGTGTTTGCCTCGATGCATTTGGTCAATAATTTCATTAACCCTTTCCTCTTTCCTGCGTATTTTTTTACTATCGCTGCTTTGAGAGGTTTGAAGTGAAGTCTGTTGTTGAGTTGTACTTTGGCCTCTTTTGTTTTTTCTGTCTTATTCATGATGACTGTTGTTGTGCTGCTTCGGTGAGGTTTCATGCAATTTGTTTGAACTCTCTTAGAGCCGTGACCTCATTACGTTACAAAGTATTTTTTGGCTTAGATACAGTCTGCAAGTTGTGTTATGACAATTTTCCAAGTAGCTCTGAAGGGCGATAGAAGACTGAACCGGTGGCATTCGGTTAAATATGAAATGGAAGTGGTTCTTTTTTTTGTCCGAGAAAGGTGTAACGGAGCCGCATTCGTCTTGCGAATAAATCTCGCAAAGTTGGCCTGATTTTACATTTGTTTGTCACGGGTGTTGGGATGAATTTGAGACCCTTTGATAGCACGCTGACTTGGCTGTCAGATGGTTGATAGTTTTAGAGGTTTTTGAGAAATTTTAATTTTCTCGGTTTTTTGGCGACAAGCCTACATTTTAAAGTGTTTCTACGCTATATGTGTCTTAAGCTGTTTGTTCTACTTTCGCTGATATTGAAGCCAGCTTTTTTTACAGTCAGAGTACACAATTATATTTTTCATCTCTTTTGTATAAAAGTGAGTGCTTTGAGGTCAGAAATCTCATTCCTCAATTCGGCTATGTTATCATTGTTATTTACAATGTTCACCGAGTTCTTTCCTTTGTGTAAGGTATTCTGCCAGAGAGTTGTTAAAGGCGGATAATGATCAACCCACCTGTCTAGGTGACAAAACTCGTGGAGGTTCGTAGCTTCCCTTTCGTCGAGATCGCACTGAGGACGGTTTTTCTTGTCCCTTTTTTGAACGGTAGGCACTGAACCCGACAGAGTTCTTGGCCTAGATCCTTCAAATTACACAGATCTCTCGAAAAAGCCCTCCGAGAGGTGTTTGAAGCAAATCCCAAATATTCTTGCAGGATTGAAGTTTACTCGGCGAGTTCGCACAAATCGCATCCGTTTTTCCCTCTCTGCAGAGAATACCTGCAGCATGGTCTGGACGATTACTTCAGCTTTGAATTACGCATCGATGCCTCGTCATTTTGTTTACCTTTTGTAAGAATAGAGTGAAGCACTCTGTTGTATTTGCTTGAAATTTTGCCATGTGAGATTTTCGCCTTGAGCCTTTGACGTCACTTCCTCTGAGTCCTGCGATCAACTTCCCGAACACGGTCAAATAATGGCGGACGCGAAATCGCGAATTTAACGGCTCGAAAAAAGATAGTTCTGGTGCTCGGTCTAGACTGAAATTTGGCAGAGTATGCGAAGGAGACACACTGAAGACAAAAATGAAAAAAAATGATGTACGAAAATTTTGATATCAGGGGTACGTTACAGGAACTAAAGAAACTAAATGTAATGAGGTATGAAGGAGTGGCTGAAGATCTACAAATGATGAGGAAGAACATGCGCGTACGCTTGAAAGAGGTTAGTGCAAGAAAGTGCGGCGTTTAGTTTGTGCGCGCTAAAACTTTCCCGCTTTTTCCACACTTAGTAGCTCATCTTCTTTGGTTTTATCGCTTTTTTTCCTTTTAAGTCCCCCTGCAGCTCATCTTTTTTTTAATGAGCGTTCATTGTGTCAGCCAGGTAAGGATGCTATTCGTTAAATGTCATAAAATTTCGGAACACATTTGGTTGCCCAAAACACAAGCAACAGAAGTTGCACCCAATTCATCATACAGTTAGAGAAATTTAAAAAAAATCAAATAGGTGGTAGAACGCTTTAGGACTTTATCCCAAAATATCCATCGGACCTTGATAAGTTCCTCCTCGATCTTTTATAAACTTTATGTTGGATTTTTTATTTCTTTACTTTGAATCCTGAGGCTCCTCTTCAGCAGCAGTACCGGAGAGACATGTACTTACAGGCCCGTGATCTGGGATGTGAAATGAACAAAAGAAGTCTGCACAACTTACTCAAATTTAAAGCTCAGTTTCATGAATTGAGTAATTTGAAATGTAGACGTGTAAGCTGCTATATAATTATTTGTCGTGAAAATTAAATGTTTGAATTTAATAAAGAAAGCTTGTAACTATATTGTAGACACGTGTTCACTATATTTGAGTTTGTGCCGCAAAATTTTAAGCGGGCGGGCTGCCGTGTCGACAGGCTGACAGGAGAAGCTTGTTTCCTGTAAGGCTTGTTTAATTTCAGCTGGGTAGCTTTTTCAGGACAATGTGAAAAACCATTTTTTCCCTTGGGTTTCCCGCAAACATGAACCTCTTTTCTTTTTAAAGTTTGGCCTAACACCCTGCTGGGAAAGGCCTCAATTTGGATGAGAAACAAAATTATTCCCTCCTTTGAAAACTTGTTTAAAATATCTACAAAATTATTTTCGTCATTTACTTAGTTAAGATACTGAAATGATAAAACGAGTCGGAGTAAAGGCAGCAGCTCCGGTGAAACGCCTGGAATGCAGCGGGCTGTTTTTTAACAAATACTAGTGAGTCATAAGAGGTTATTAACAGCAGTTTAGATTCTCTTGTTGACCATAAATACCTAAACATAAATAACAATTCTAGTTCCCATACTTTATAGCGGTGTCAGAAACTTTAAGTTTGATGCATGTGAAAGATCACTCATCGGAAAACTTTATGTTTATCAGCCTACAAAAGTATCGTCAGAGTAGAAACATCAACTATTTTATAAGTTCATTATTTACTTTGTCACTTAAGGAGGCTGGATACAGTTTCTTTGATACGCGCAGACTGGGTTCTAATTTACCCAGGACTTTGAAAAATTGAAAAAAAAAAAAAAAAAAAACAAAAAAAAAAAAAAAAAACAAACAAACAAACATGGCCGCCGCGCTCAGGCCAAAATTATTTTTTCATCTGCCTAGTAGACTATGTTTTACGCCCATAGGTAGGCTGCCTACACTTTATTCTAACTTTATTAGTAGTCTGTTTCAAAAACGGAAAGCTACAACACTCTCAAGTGAACAAAATACCCATGAATCCGGCCGCAAACACCATCGCGATCGCCGGAGCTATTTTCCCATATCGTGGCTGGTTTCGGGAAAACTATACTTATCCAATTCTTCCACTGCAAACTGTGTTGGGGAGGACAGTGGTTGTGGAGGAAGTGGATCGCCTCCTAGTGAAGAGGAACAGAAACAGAATCAGACAGCAACGCCGACAACTTCCGGATTCCCGCTGCGTGACATTTCAGGTCGCTTTTCTTCGTCAAGTAAAAACATTTTTGCCGCAAAGTAAGCAACGCATCCGCAAAACGTCAGAGCAAAGAGGAAACTGGTCTTAGATTCTGACCACGATGGTCGGTTGCTAGGGAATTTTTCTCCAGGACGCTACTTCGATCACGTGATCACGCGTCATTTTGGCAATGGCTTCTCTAGACTGAATAAGATGTAAATTATGTACATAAATCGCTGCCTGTATTTTCGCTTATTTCATGCCCATTGCCTTTGACAACACGTATGCATACATTATAATACTTTAATTTTCCGAAAACTGCAAGGGAGGTGTGTTCCGGCTTTTTGTACTCGAAATATAGGCTGGTATATCCCACTCACTAAAAAGCTAAAAAAACCTTTAGGGGTGGTTTTACAGAGCACATACAGTCATGAATCTGTATTATAACTACCTCTGAAGTATTGTCATGACAAAAATAAAGATTTGAGTTTAAAACTTTGTGTATATTCTCTCTATTCGGTTCACACGAATACGAAAAAGCCTGTGGGACTCCTGTCTGAGAGAGATTTTGCTTATTATTATGCAATATATCCCACAAACCCTTGGCATCGTAAACTCAGAATGTAAATTGACGTAATGGCGTCGAAATGTGGCGAAGAAGAAGAGGAAAGCAGGTATGTAGAACGAGTTTAAACCCCCATTTTGAAAAACAGTTTTCACCGTCCGCCATTTTGAAATTCGCGACATAATCCTTCTTATACCAAAACTGTTTCTGTTTGTTCTAGAGTCGATAAACTGTGCTCGAAGAGCAGAAAGTGCAGTAAAAGCAATTATCACTCTGGCAGGTGCGATTCGAAGAGAGCGGTTGTGAGCCCATTTTGGAACCGTTCTCCGATACAGGTGGGAAATGCGATCAAGAGGGAGGCTAGAGATGCTGCTGAAGCTATCACAAATGATTGTGATCGGAAGAAAATTCGTGTAGAGGAAAGGGAGGCTAGTGTTAATGCGAGAGAATCTGAACTAGTAGAGAAGGAGAGAAAGATACATGAAGTAGAAGAGCGAGCTAATGCAACAAGACTTGAATCAGGTTGAATTTGACTTCGTGTTCTAAATTTAGATACAGCAGTGCATACATCCTTAAACGTCTGTTTTTGCCTCCACTCACTAAACATGTATATCAGCATCATTTTCTATTGTCGATCCACATGTATTCTTATAGCAGACATTTCCGCTTGGTGGCTTAAAATATTGTGTCATGTAAGTTAAGTAAGCTCATTATCATATGCGACAAACATAAGCTTACATAGTTTTATTTTCTATGTTTTAGAGGAACTAGAAAGGCGGAAGGAGGCGATTGAGGAGGAGCTTAGAGAGCTGGAGGGGAGGTTAGACAGTATTGTGAAAGAGTATGAGAAAGTTAAGACACTTTTGGAACAAAGGCATCATGCCAAGGCACGTAGACAGAGTAGTGCAACTACATTTGAAATGGTTAACAACCCTAAATCAAGCACACGATATAGACGGCGACAGGAAACTAGGAATATCCTAGAATTTATTCATGGTGGGGAGCAGGGTGCAATTTATGGTGCTTGGAATTTTATTGCATCATGTGCAAAAAAAAAATCTTGGAAAAATTAATAACTTGTCACTGAAGGGGTCGGTTTTTACAGGGTGTGTTTGGGAAGGCAATGAAAGAGTATGGAACCAGTGAAGAAGCCTTAAAGCAGGCTGTTTCTATAAAGTGTCAAGCATTTTTGTCTAGGAAAAAGTTTCAACTAATCTGTAAAACCCAAAGTTCTGTGTTTAATGCTGAAGAAGATGTTTGGTTACCCAGGAATGTTAAGTGTGCAGGTGTGAATGTTACTATTCCTCGTATAGCATCAGATGAGAAAGTAGACAAGTTTGTAAAGAGTTTAGATATAGGGCATGTATGTGAAATTCCTAATTACTCTGGTGTATCTACAACTGTCACTGGTTTAGTTTTCATGATAATTGATTTGCATTTGCGTTTACCTTATTTGAGGAACCAGCTCATCTGGTTTAATGAAAATACCAATCATTTTATTGTACAGTTTTCTGATGATGGTGCCCCAGAAACTAGTTATCTGAGTATGTCTATTGGGTCACTAACTACGTATGATGCACGATCCTCGCAGTAGATAGCGCTATTTATTCAATAGCGGAAATCAGACCTGAAAAAAATCAGGCCTGTACGGGACTCGAACCACTGACCTCTGTGATACTAGTGCAGCGCTCTACCAATTGAGCTAACAAGCCAACTGGAAGCAGGCCGTTAAGTTGATTCGTAATAAACCCGTGAAAGTGATAAATGAGATACAATGAATATATGAAGTTCATATATATATGAATATATGAACTTCATATATTCATTGTATCTCATGGGTCACTAACTGTTTGGAATTTTGGGGATCATGTTAGGAGTAGGGATTTTCAATATCTTTTGCATTGCCTAAGTGTGAATGAAAAAGACAGGGTAATGGAAGACCTTTGGAAACAACACACGGAGGAGATGTTAATACTAGAGGGTAATGTGTTAATTGTTTGTGGTGAGCAGTCACCTTAGAGTTTCAACCTAGTGCTGATCAGTCTTGGCAAAGTTGGGCTAATAGCGAGTTCAATCAGGCTGCTACTTACCCTTCCCCTTATGCATCTGTTCACAAAGGTAGTTTGGGTACTATGGGGGCATGTATAGGACATTCATTCTCAGATACCTGGAAACCACCCTCCATGGAGAAGAGGAAAGCAGATCTTTTAAAACTAAACCAGTATCGAGATTCACTAAGCAAGTCTCTTAGTCAAGCGAAGAAGCATGAAAAAGAATTATCTTTCATGGCAGAGAATGGAATTAGAAGTGTTGTTTATCCCAGGATTGGTGAGTTTGCAGATCGTCAAAGACCAGAGCCAGTGCATACTGAGATTAATGCTTGGCAGCATCTGCTAAATGTTATCTACCGTGAAGCTTTACAGAGAGATTTGATTGAGGACTTTTTAGAGGTTTTGAGTTCACCTTTACACGTTCAGGGTAGTCCTCGAGAGAGAAAAACGGCTTCATCTATATTGTCAAGTTACCCCGAGGATGCTGGAGATAGAGTTAGGCAGTCAGAACTAGTTAGAGAGCAACATAAGGTATTTCAGCAAGCAATAGGTAGTACTGCAGCAAGTGGCAGTGTCAGAGGTAATTCAGATAGGAAAGGCTGTCAGTTAGCATTTCTTTCAAGAAAGATTAGGGAACACTACAATGACAAAGACAAAAGGAGCAACAAAATCGCTACAAGGTTGATAGGTGAACAAGCTGTTTCATTAGCCAGGTATTCATTTAGATTAATTGATGCCCTCTGCATGAATGATGAGTCTGGTCCTCAGAGGCTTAAGCGCCTGGCCCTTGGTAAAGCAGCTCAGTATCTCCGAGACTCTGGGATGCTCTTCAGCAAGGTTGAGGCAAATGCAGTTGGAATGAATCAACTAAAGCACTCTTGCACCATGTACTTCAACCTTATCTCTCTCTTCTTCCCAGATGCTGTTAACTTAACGGTTTGGACAATCGGCTATGCCATACCCTACCATGCAGAACTGCTCTACAGACAACAGAAGGTTGGTTATGGTATTATTTCTTTGCAGGCAAAGGAATCAAAGCATTCAGGTGTGAAGCAGGACCTAAATTTAACCAATAGGTCTCGCTCAACAAGCAATGTAGGTAAGTGGTGGCAGCTAATGCGCACTAATTATGTCAGGGCATTTTATTTGCCTGAACATCAGCCTGTGCCGTCTACCTACATATCCCACTTCGAGTCTCGACTTCCACCTCACTGCAAGGATACCCTTAACTTCTGTTAGTGTGGACGATCACGAGATGTAGCTTCCCTTTGTTCATTTTGTGAGGAGTCTAAAGATATTGTAAGGTGTGCCCAAGAAATGAAGTTAGATGAAAACCTTATAGCTATCTTTAAGCCAATCAGGTGAGAAACATGTGAAATGAGATTCCCAGATGTGGTCCTCCTTGAGTCTCATCAAAAGGTTGCACACTCATCAAGAGAACAACTGGCTAGGCCATCTAGTAAGATTAACCCTCAAATGATGAATGTCAAGGAACTGAAAGAAGAACTACGTGTAAGAGGAGCATCGTTAACTGGGGATAAAGCTCATCTTATTAGAAGATTGGAAGGGCTTCTTGCAGCAGAAGTTAGTTAGACATTCATCATTCCATAAATGTCCCTTTTTATTCTAAAAAAAAAAGAGGGGACTTCAAGGAGAAAATCACAAAGCCTAGTTCTAAATCATTCATATTATTGTTTTCATTATTATAATGAATATTATGTCATTGATCCAAATTTTATAAAAATAGTGTATGTATATATGTGATAACTCTAACATAGGAGCTTAAATAAAGTGAATTGATGAGTTCCGGGAAAAATTAAAGCTGGATCTGTCCATCTCAACACAACTGCTGTAATTAAGTATTAAATTTGGAAAAAATATGTTTCATAAGTTCATGATTTTGCAGCTCTAGTCTTAATATGATATTCATGTATGTACTTTCTTGAAAGTGTCAATAGTGACATGAGTCACAGGGCCCCAAATGTTACCTTTGTGAACAAAAAAAGTAATATTATAGATTCAAGGCACTTAACAAAGAAGTCATTTCCTGGTGTTGCTGATAATAAGTGTATTAACAAATAATCCAATACAAAATATTGAAAAGATACTGAGCATTACCCACCCTTACAACACAATACAAAACCAACAGCGTTTTCTAAAGCATCAAGAACAGCCTGATTTTGCTCTCCTTACAGTGCTACTTCATGCCACTCTAGTTATTTAAACCCTCTAAGTCTCAATATCCACATGCAAATTCTCCTCACTGATATCCATACATTTCCTTAATTGTAACTGAGTGAAATTGGTGAAATATCAAAGCATTTTCCCTAAGGGGATTTTTTTAATTCCCTTAACCTTTTCTCTTGCTAATGTACTGGCAATTTTGATAAAATGCTAACAATTGTATATTATCTATCACTATCATTAGGTTTTTTTCTTTCTTTTTGTTAAGAACATTTGAATAGATATTTGAGCCTACAAGCCTAACAAATTAGTGATATAAACCAGTGATAAATACATGTTGTGATTCAATTTTGTCCTTGCTTTCAATTTTATCTTCCTTTCGTCCAAAACTCGTTACCATACATTACCATACCACAAGACAAAGTAAAATAAATATTGAACCAAAGAACCAAAACAATATTATTACTTCACATCGTAATACAAGCGAAATAAACAAGATTTGTTTTGCGGAAAAAAAATGCAGACCTATTCAATGTTCATAAGTTTTTGTATTTGATAATCAATAGCAAAATCCTCCTCGTTGTACCTTTGAATAAAAGCAGAAAGGGTCAAACGATTTGTTCTGATATTGTAGCGTAGTGTAATGGGAATATATATAATGACATAATATGTTACTATCACGGTCTTTTATTGTGAGATTTTAAGCCACTATCCCAATCGTTATAATAATTTCGTAAATTAAATAATAAATAATATTTTTTTAATATATTTAATAAAAAATATTAAATATCTATTTTCTTATTGTACGATTTTAAGCCGTTAGTTAACGGCTTAAAATCTACCATTATATAAACTACCTGCTGAACGAAATTAAGCCGTTAGTTAACGGCCTAAAATCGTACAATAAACATAACAGACTGAACGGAATTAAGCCGTTAAAAAGGCCTAAAATCGTACAAGCCGTTAGTTAACGGCCTAAAATCGTACAATAAATATGACAGATTGAATGAAATGAAGCCGTCTTTGGTTGCGAAACTCGCGGATTTTACAATGTTTCACATATTACGATGAATCCTGGTAAGGGGCCGATCATTTAATTCTTTGGGGGTGGGGAGGGGGGGGAATTTGAAAAACAATTTCCTGCAAGCGCTTGTTGGAAGAAAAAGAAAATTGCATGCAGCCCAAATGTAACAGAACAAATGTAACAAAAAAAAAATACCGATAAAAAGATCCTGCCCAGCAGATTGCTAGAAAAAAAATTTGTTGATTACCACAAATCACCCACCCCCTCAAAAGTTACATTGTCGGCCCCTAACTGTAGTTTAATCTACACGAAACTAAAAGCTGCTACTCTATGCTTAGGTTAGGCGCTGGAATGTACCACCTTATGGCAATCAAGGCGGCATTCCAGGTTCTAGGATGTCGGGGTCATTTTCCAGCATTCCTGGTTTTAGGACTTGGGGTCGTATTCTAGTGATAACACCGACTGAAGGAAATCACGCCTTCACGGCATAAAATATCTTTAGCGGCGTGTCCAATTTTTATTAGAGAGATTTAGCAAGAGGACGGGAACGTCAGTTGACAATGGCGCGCGCAGCAAAAATACCGGTAAGAAACTGGGTCGAGAACGTCACCCCGTTGTGTTTCAGAAGTGAGTTAGCAGTCGCTGCAACGAGACGCCATGGCAATATGTTTTTCAAAAGCCTAACTCGGCTTTTCAAAGATCGCGAACACAAATTTTCACTTTCACAAACAGCTTTAAGGACAACGAAACTATCCTCTTTGAGAGTGATGCAACAAGCGCAAACAGAGGATAATTATAGTTACGGAAAGTTAGATGGGCGATTAAACTCTATAATTGATCCATTCTAGGTAAGACTCGTGTCTGTTGATTCATGTATCGAATTTTAGAGCCCATTAGATTTTTTTTTGTGATTTGTGTTGCTGTCTTTTCGTTTCGTGCCATGCCATTAGATTTTAGCACTGCTCATCTTTCTTCGCAATTTTACAAAGTATAGTTTGGAAATCTTCATCGTTTTTCCCCTTGTTTACTGAAAATTTCTATTCATTCATGACGATACATCTCTTTTGAACATTGAATACTTAGAGATGCAAAGCATTTTGAATGGGGTTATGGCGAAACCATGAAGAAACCAAGCGACGCAACGACAAAGTTAATGCGAGTTCTTGTTTAACGCTGAAAGAATTAATGCAAGTCACCCATGAAATGGTTAGGCTTAGGATAAGACTTGGTTTCGGTTTTTTGTTTGTTTTGTGTTGTTTCTTCTTTTTTTGACGAAGTTGTTCAAGACTGAATTAAATTACTTGATTTAGAAAGTCGAGTCGAAATAGAATTCATTGTCTTTTGTTGCGTGAGCCCAACTTTCTTGTTTTCATCGGCGCTGATTAAAAAAGTTTAAGACATAAAAAAATGCAAACCCGAGAAAATTCTCAAATTGTTTATCTCTGACTTCAATCCACAAAGCATTCATTTATGATCGGTAAAAACGACAACGACAACGAAAACAAGTAAATAAAAAAATTTTACGGTATGTAAGCTTCGTGATTGTTCATTTTATTGACTGCTCCAAACTTCAACATGCAGCATGGTTATTGATGAATCGATTTACGATAAAATTCAACAGCATATATCCCATTCTTAGAGTTTTCACATAGGCTTAATCAAAGAAATGTATTAAAGAAAAGCCCTTTTATTACCTAAAGCCTTGCTCATTCAAAAGCAAAATGAGTCCTGAAATCTTGGATCGCTTGCCAACGATTGTGTTCCAATTTCCTTTCGGGAACCAGCATATTGAAGCGACAAGTTTTCAAAAATACACCGATTAAAACAAAGAAAGGGACCCAATTATCCTGAACATGAGTATTGAAATACTTCCAAACAGTATTATCTCGTTTGGATCGATTTACAAGTGCACAATTGACGGAAATTTGAGTCGTTCTGATCGCGACGGGAAAACCAGCAAAGTGACGTCCTAAACTTGTTGGGAGAACGGCAACGCTAACACCGGAAGTCGAATGGTGTAGTGTCCAGACTATTCCGCGCGCTCTCCCGTTCTGAAATGACGTTCCCGTCCTCTTGCTAAATCTCTCTATTGAGGCTTGAAAAGTGACGGGGTATGCGAAAACATTTCCGTAAATAAATATCCACGAAAATCGCCCTAATAAAGCTTCAGCGTGCGCTATTTTACACTTGAAATTGATTTCTGAAGTGGGTTTTCGGTGGTCCTAGATGGGTGTTGTCGATGGTTTTAGGTCATTTCTTCTTTTAGTACTTACGTAACGTCGTTCAGTCTGTTATGTTTATTGTACGATGTTAGGCCGTTAACTAACGGCTTGATTTCGTTCAGTCTATTTTATTTTACAATTTTAGGCCTTTAACTAACGGCGTAATTGCGTTCAGTCTCTAATGTTGTTTGTACGATTTTAGGCCGTTACCTAACGGCTTAATTTCGTCCAATCTGTTATGTTTATTGTACGATTTTAGGCCTTTAACTAACGGCTTACTTTCGTTCAGTCTGTAATGTTTATTGTACGATTTCAGGCCGTTAACTAACGGCTTAATTTCATTCAGTCTGTTATGTTTATTGTACGATTTTAAGCCATTAACTAACGGCTTAATTTCGTTCAGTCTGTAAATAAATGTTTATTATACGATTTTAGGCCGTTAACTAAAGGCTTAATTTCATTCAGTCTGTTATGTTTATTGTACGATTTATTGTACGATTTTAGGCCATTAACTAACGGCTTAATTTCGTTCAGTCTGTTATGTTTATTGTACGATTTTAGGCCGTTAAGTAACAGCTTAATTTCGTTCAGTCTGTAATGTTTATTGTACGATTTTAGGCCGTTAACTAAGGGCTTAATTTCGTTCAGTCTGTAATGTTTATTGTACGATTTTAGGCCGTTCACTAACGGCTTAATTTCGTCCAGTCTGCAATGTTTATTGTACGATTTTAGGCCGTTAACTAACGCCCTAATTTCGTCTAGTCTGTTATGTTTATTGTACGATTTTAGGCCGTTAACTAACGGCTTAATTTCCTTCAGTCTGTTATGTTTATTGTACGAGTTTAGGCCGTTAACTAACGGCTTAATTTCGTTCAGTCTGTTATGTTTAATGTACGATTTTAGGCCGTTAACTAACGGCTTAATTTCGGTCAGTCTGTTATTTTTATTGAACGATTTTAGGCCGTTAACTATTGATTAACAAATGATTGAATGCTGAATGTGACTATCTAACTGAGTTTTCCTCCAACTGTGTAAATAAGTCCATAAAATGTTGAAGGGGTATTTCTGCTTAACTAGTGAATTCATTCCTAAAATGAGCTCGACTTTGTATGAAATCTTCAAGTTAGTTCTTCAGTCTTGCTTATTGCCAGAGACATCAAGCTGTTGTGGTCCGGCCGCTTAGAAACACAAAGGAT